TTTAATATAGCTTTCTAATATAGTAAGTAGAGCTAATTAGAAGCTTATCTTATAGATAGGCTTTTTATAGTTATAAAGAATAATACGCTAATATACCTAATTTAATAGTACGTTACTACTAGTCTTTATTAGAGATACTAAATAGAATTACTTACTAGAGAGTAAAGAGGCGCTAATTTAGCTAGATAATTACTTCTTACTAGTAGTACTACTGCTACTATAACCTCTCTATAAAGCTCTAGACGTAATTATACTTAGTAGTAGTATTAAGTATTCTAGCTAGTAGTTTATAGCTATAGTAATATCTAGTTCTTTATAAATATTATTTTAAATATTATTATCTATACTATATACTTAAATAGTCTTATAGTAGTAGTATTAGGCTACGTTAACAACGCTTTAATTAGTTATCTTACGTAATAATTCGCTCTTTCTATCGCGTTTAGAGTATTACTATAAGTCTTTAATAACGAGTAGTATCTATAGGTATTCTTTATAATAGACTTTCTAATAAGTTATAGCCTAGCTAGTAATATAACGTACGCGTTATATTACCTTATTAATAATAAGGCGCTCTATTAAACTATTCTACTTAATCTTAATAAATTACTTATTATTCGCTATTATAATTATTAGATTAAAGCTAAGCTTCTTCTTACTTATCTAGAGAAACCTAAAAATTATAAATATAAACTATAGTCTATTTTTATTAATATTAAACTACTTAGATATAACTTTTTCTAGCTAATTAAACTTCTATATTCTTATAAGAGATTTATAGATAGTAAAGCCTAAGATAAAGTAATAAGTATTCTAAGTAGTAAGAACTTCTCTTATATACGTTCTAAGATTAAGCTATACCTTTAACGCTTTATTAGCTAATAGATTACTCTTTAACTTACCTAGTATAAGAATATATAACTAGTAATATTAAGAGTCTTTTCTAGTCTTAGAGTTATCTATAAAGCTAACGTCTAACTTACGTTCTACTATAGAATTCTAGATTAGCTTATTAGGTTATACTAGTAGCCTTTATTAATATATTAGAGTTAACTTATACTCTTCTATAAATATTACTAGTTTCTTATTTAATTCTATAAACTAGCTAAAGATATTATTCTAATTTATATCTATTAGCTATTTACTCTACCTATTACTAAAGAGTAGTTTGCTATCTTCTATATACTTCTTAAAGATAGCCTTAGATACTATCTTAAGGCCTGCTACCTATCTAAAAAATATCTTATAGAATTAAGAAAGCCTAACGTATATAGTACTAAGCTTATCTCTAAGAACTCTATCTATATTCTTATAGTACTTAGAGAAGTTCGCAAAGCTACTTATATTATATAGCTATAGAGTTTATTAGAATAAAGAGACTATTAGTTAGAAAAGTAAGGTAGATTTAGTAATAGTATTATAGACTTAGTTCTAGATTTAGGTATTATCTAGATTATTAGTAAGAGCTAACTTAAGAAGAGATTTAATATAGTTAAGGTTAAAGTTATTAGAGTTAACTATAGAATTAAGTTTTAAAAGATTACTAAAGAGATTTTTACTATAGCTACTAGAATAAAGTAGATAAGAGGCTTAAAGACTTTATAATACTAAGAGAAGATTAAGAGTAAGATTCTAGAGATCTATATAATAGTTAGAGAATTACGTTAGAAAGAAACTATACTCTTCTATCTTACCTTCTTAGCTAAGCTACTCTAACGCGTCTAGAGTATAGAAGACGCTTACGTCTTTGTAGATTAAACTAAATAAAGTGTGGAAGGTATTAAGGTCTTTTCTAATAGAATTATTCTTAATAATCTCTAACTATAGTTAATTAGCTATTATAGATAGAATACTCTTAAGATAGAAGAGGTAGAAAGAACTAAAAGTTGTGTTTTATAGTATGTTTTAGCCTATACTAGATTTTTTACTAGCTACTTAGCTATCTAGCTAAGCTACCTTTAGAAAAACTTTTATTCTAAATTCTTAGTTAGCTATAACTTTATAGTCTAACAGTATAGAAAATCTCTAATCTAATAAGCTAACTAATATTAATAATTTACTTATATAAACTAGAAACCTTTATAGCTAGAAGACTAGCCTAGAAGAGTATAGAGTAATAGAGTTCTAACTTTAATAAGAGACTACTAGAGTATAGCTAAATTCTATCTTACTAGTAATAGAAAGAGAGAGAGTAAGTAGTAGAGTAGATAGAATAGAGAAGAGAAGAGAGAAGAAGAGAAGAGAGAAGAGAGAAGAAGAGAAGAGAGAAGAAGAGAGAGAGAAGAGAGAAGAGTAGAGAGAGAGAGAGAAGAGAATATAGAAGAGAAAGAAAGAGAAAAAACAAAGAGATAAAGAAGAGAAGTAGTAATAGTAATATAAGATAACTAAAGGTAGTTATTTAGATTAGTATAGATAGCTATTTTAAGGTAAATAGATACTAGAGTTTATTTAGAGAAACTAGCTTATTTACCTCTAGACTATAAATTCGCTTATCTACTAGCTATTATATAGTAGCTAATAAGAGAATAATCTATCTTTTTTAATATTATTCTATCTTATATAAATCTATATAACCTATAGTAGAGATTTCTATAAGTTATTAAAAGAGAAATAAAGGCCTCTAACTAAGATAGGTAATAATATATAGGTTATAGACTATACGCGTCTAAGAATTATAAGATTTAACTCTTCTTAGAGTTACTAGATCTTTATTAGTATAGTATCTAGATTTAGAACTCTATAATACTAAGTCTCTTCTACCTACTACTATCTCTACGTATAGCTAAGATACTAATTATAAAAGAACTTCTAAGACTATCTAAGCCTCTTTTTACGCTAGGCTAGCTAAATATCTTAAATACTACTAGCTTCTTTATATAGCCTTCTTAGTAAGAGAGCTACTCTATATAAAAGATCTACGCTTAGCTAATATTATTACGTAGTCTCTAGGTTCTCTCTCTTATTACGTAAAGCTCTACTATACTAGTAGAACTACCTAGCCTTCTAATTAACGTTAAGACGTAAGTCTATCTTATCTATTTCTTTAGTATTACTAGTTATTTACTATACGTAGGCAAGGTACTCTTAAGAGTAGTAGACTTAGAGCGTATAACTTCTATAAGTAGTAAAATACTCTAACCTAAGAATAGTAGTATAAAAGTAGAAGAGAGTATAATTAAGAATTATACCTAGTTATTTAGCTCTTTATAAAGGTAAGATAGAGCTATTAAAGAATTAGTTATATAAGAGCTAATAATTTAATACTACTACTCTTAGACTTCTAGTTTTAGCTTATATTCTAATACCTCTAAGCTATCTCTAGCGTTATTAAATTATATAATAAATAAATTTATTATCTTATCTAGAACGCCTCTTTTATATAGCGTAAATCTAGCTAAGAATACTCTCTATTTCTACTTTCTTATATACTTCGCTTTGCTAGCTCTATTTAAGCGTCTATCTCTAGGTAGAATTTATACGTGTAAGTTAATTCTAGTTAGATAACTTTATTTAGTATTTCTATAGCTCTTTTAGTATTAGTATTCTAGATTATAGCTATATAGCTAAGATTTCTTACTTTCTTATTTCTATACTTACCTTTAATAAAGTTCTCTTAAAGTATACTTATACCTAATATTAGGTAGACGCTTTCTATAGCACCTATTCTATTCTTTTAGTAGTAAATTATTCTCTATAAGCTTATATTATAGTAATGTTTAGCTAGACTAGTAATTAACCTATATCTAGAGAAGGTAACTCTAACTATAACTTTACTAGTCTCTTTTTTATTCTCTTCTTTTAGAGGCGTATACTTCTAAGTTATAAAGAAGCTAATACTATAATACCTATATTCTAATAATCTATACTACTATGCCTTACTCTTACTATACTATATAGTTTAACTATAAAGACGTAAGTTACTCTAGAAATATTAGTAAAGTATCTACCTATTCTAGAATTAGCTATCTATAGGTTATTATAGATCTTTGTACTATTTAGTCTATTTAGTTAGTTACTCTAGCGTCTCTAAGGTATAATATAGCTTTATAAATAATTATAATACTTCTATATTTTGCTAGTAAAAGCTTGTATTACTAAAGCTAGAAGCTTTTAATATCTATTATACTTAGATAGTAAATAGAGATTTAATAAGTAGTCTCTATACTAGAATTATAGTTCTATAGTATATATACCTAAAACTAGGTCTATAAAATTATCTCTAGGCTATTTTTTTCTATTTAGTAAATAGTAGGTTTAGCTAGAGTAGCTAGAAATAAGGCTTTAGAGCTATATAGTAGACGTATGCTAGAATTACTATAGCTTAGATAAAAGTAGTAGTAGCTTAGAACTACGTCTAGTAATAAGAATTACTAAGAGTAACTTATACATAATATATAGAGCTATTATATTATAGCTTTTATTCTTAAGTAGGTTTACTTTAATAGAAGTAAAGCTATTAGTAACTTTCTCTAGAGTCTATTAAGCTCTAGCGTTCTAAACAACCTCTAGATTTCTAGATAATTAAGAAAAAATACTTAGAGTTATAAAGCTTTTCTAGACAAGGCTTAGATATTATTATAGAAGATAATACTCTCTAGTTAGTTAAACTTCTATAGCTGTATAACTAATCTATAGAGAGTAAAGCTAGAGATAAAGTAGCAACTATCTTAAGTAACTAGCACCTCTCTTATATATTACTTAAGGTCTAGCTATATTTTAGAGGCTTTATTAGTAGATAGGTTACTCTTAAGTTCTTCTAGCATAAGAATCTACTTCTAGTAGTATTTTAAGTTTACGCTAGCGCCTAGGTCGTCTATAAAGCTAATATCTAGCTTGTTAGCTATAGAGCCTTACAAGAGCTAGTACGGCTATGCTAGTAGTTACTAATAAGTCTACGAACTAGTCTATAACCTCTGCGAACTAGCGTAAGACGTCTCTCTCTCTTACTTCTTTAGGCTAGCTCTACTAGCTACTCTTCTTCTAATAGAGTAGATTATTCTCTACTTTTTAAACACTACCTGCGCTGCTAGCTTAAGGCTTATAATTTTGCTAAAGAAAGCTTTAAAGAAACCTAGAATTCTAATATACATTAGTTCTAACTTCTTCTTTAGTACTTTGTCTACGTATTTATAGTATTTAGTTAAGTTTACAAAACTACTTATACTACGTAGCTATAGTATTTACTAAAAGAATAATAGTAGGTAGAGTAAGAGAAAGAGAGAGTTAATTTAGTAATAAGGTTATAGAGAGTATTCTAGATCTCTTCTTTAGGTACGTACCTAATAACTTATTTATATAGAGTAAGAAGCCTTACGTTTTAGAACTTAGAAGAGAGTTAATAAGAGGCTAGAAAGATCTAAAATACTAGTATAAGATTATATAATTAGTAGGTTTCTAGAATCTATTACACGTTAGTAATAGAAATTAGCCTAAAGTACTAAGGCTTACTATTCTTAATAATATATAGCGCTGCTTCTAAGAGACTCTAGATTTCTAGCTCTTTCTACGTAGTTTTAAATAGATACTAAAAGAAATCTAAGTCTAATCTAATAGAATTATCTTTAATTATATTTAATCTAGAGAGAGAGATTATTATAAAAAATTATAAAATAGTACGCGTTTATAATATATAAACTATATAGAGATATAGAAAAGAGAAACTATAATTAGTAGCGCGAGTCTAGAAAAACGTTAGCACTCTTAGCTAGTTAGAGAATTTCGCTAAATACTAATAAGACTAGTAAATTCTTAGTACTATCTATCTACCTATTCTATCTTAGTTAATAAATACTATAATTGCTAACTAATTTTAACCTTTAATTTCTAATAAGTTTATCTATTAGCTAAAGATATTTACTAAGCGTTTATAGTAAATAACGTACTTTATTATCGAGCTAACTATATTATCGAGCCGATTACCTTTCTCTTAGCAAGGAAAATCAACGAAAATCAACTCGTTTTTCTTAAATAACTAAGCGAAATCTTAATATCCTTCTATAAAAATTTATATATACATTCTTTACACTACATTACACCTTATACTAAAGTTGTACTAAGATATATTACGTAATTAAAAAGCTATACGTATTTAAGTAACTTTTAAAAAAAATCTAGTTTACTTCTAGTAAGTACTATTATATCTTTAAAATAATATATAAAACTTATAGTATATAATATATATAACGTAATAAAGGTTTCTAGAAAACTTTTATAGCGCTAGCTCTTCTAGGTATAGCGTAATAAGAGATAGAATTTAGAAAAATAATTTCTTTAGAGTTTTCTCTTCTAACTATATATATATATAGTTAATCTAGCTATATAAACGTATTATTTTATAAATTATAGTAGGCTTTAACTATATAGAGCTTATTAACTAATAATATAGTAGCTTTAAGTAGTTATTTAAAAGTAAAGTCTTTTTAGTAGTATAGTATAGAAAGATAGAAAGATACTAAAACTATTTTAAAATTATTACTTCTAAATATATAGAAGGCTTATATAGTATATAATCTTATAATATATAACTTTATATAGCTAGATTATTAATATATATATATAGTTAGAGAAGAAAACTCTAGAAAGACTTTTTATAAAGTTCTATCTCTTATTATACTATACCTAGAAGAGCTAGCACTATAGAAGTTTTGTAGAAACCTTTATTACGTTATAAATACTATATACTATAAGTTTTATAGATTATTATAGAGATATAATAGTACTAACTAGAAGTAAACTAGATTTTTTCTAAAAGTTAGTTAAATACGTATAGCTTTTTAATTACGTAATATATCTTAGTGTAACTTTAACATAAGGTGTAATATTCTATAAAAAATATATGTTTAAACTTTTATAGAAAAGTATTAAGGTTTTGCTTAGTTATTTAAGAAAAACGTGTTAATTTTCGTTGATTTTCGTTGCTAAGAAATCGTGGGGGGTTTAATAATATAGAGAGTTCGATAATAAAGTACGTTATAGTAATATAATCTAGCTATTAATTAGACTTTTATATCTATAACTTTTACCTCTTAGTACTATATAGTATACTATAGTTCTAATAGTAGACTAGTATCTATAGTACTATAATACTAAGTACCTAGTAAAATCTTTACTACCTACTCTATATAGCTTCTATCTTAAATTACGCTTATATCTCTAGATTTCGCGCTAGCTATAGAGAATCGCGTCTCTATTCTAGATAAAAAACTACTCTTCTTACTAAGTTATAAATAAACTAAGTAGTTACTATTAATTATATAAGATCTTTCTATAAAAACTAATAGTACTTCTAGGTTAAACTATATTATACTATTATATAAAGATATACCTAAAGATATATAGAAGAAGAATATAAATAGAGAAAGCTAACTACTAGAAATTCTATCTAAGCTTATACAAGACTACTTATACTATTATACCTATAATTCTAGAGTAAATAAAGGTAGAATACCTAAATACTATAGTATAATAATTAGAAATATATACTTTATAAAGAAAATACTAGCCTAAAAAGTAGAAGATATCTAGCTCTCTATAGTATAGATTAGAAAAAAACTATAACTATAGCTATAAGGGCTAGGTTTATAGTCTCTACTACTATAAGCGCCTCTAGAACACCTAGCTAGGTAAGTTAGCTGCAGGCAGCATAGTCTCTACGAGCTATAAGAATAAGAGGTGCTAGTAGAGTAGGTTAGGTTAAATTTAGCTATCTAAAGGTAAGAAGTAGAAGAAAGGCTCTAAAAGGCTCTATATATAGAGGTGCTAAGCGCTAAGACGCTAGGCTAGGTTACGTAATAGAATTACGTAACCTAAGGTTATATAACCTAAGGTAAATTCTAAACTAGACTATTATATTACCCTCTCTTATAGGGAGAGCTCGTCTCTAAGCTCTAAAATACGCCTTCTAGGTCTCTCTTCTTCTAAAACTTCTGCGTTATACTCTTAACCGTCTCTTTTAGCTTGTAGTAAGCGTATTTGTGTTAGTTTTAAACTAGAAGCGCTTTTATAGCTACTACCTTTCTTCTAGTTACTCTATTCTTTGTAGAGATTTAAGCTAGAAGGCTTGTTTTCGCGTTTATAAGGTGGCTTTGTTATAGGCTTTCTTCTTAAACAATGCTCTAAGCTTAGCGGGGTCTTAAATTACTTAGCAGCGCCTTTACGTTACTATTACGTCTTCTACTCTTACAGGTTTTAAATTCTTTACTATCTTCTCTAGAGTCTCCTCTTTTTTATACGCCTTAATCTAAGTATCTAATTATAATAGTAGCTCTAGCTTATCTAGGTATACTACGTAAA